TGAGAGCTGAATGGCCGTCACAGAGAAGAAAGACTGATTTCTCTGTGGCTCCAGAAGAACGAGAACCAAAAGGTGGAACTGACAAAAGGCGAACTTTCTTTTCAAAAACATCTAGTGTGTTTCCAAACCCCACCTCCCGATTATAAAATTAATGTGCTTTTACGGCAAAATTTAAAAACATCAAAAACTAGATGTTACCCAAAGACATTACCCAAAGACAGCTATGATTAATAATTTTTATATTTCCATTTTATAACATAGCTGTGATAATAGTATTTATTTTTTTAAAAAAAGCAGCATGTTATATATGAACATTATGACATGATATAAGCATTTTTCTTTTGTAGTTAGCATTTCTAATGTCTGCATAATATCATATGGCTATACATTATTTAACCATTCTTCTATTATTGGAAACTTAGATGGTTTTAATGTTTTTGTTCTTACAGAATCTGTAATGAATATACTTTGAAGCTTTCTTCTCATATTTTTGAGTTCTCTTATGGTAAATTCTCAGAAATGAGATAACTAGGTCTTTCTAACCCTTGGAGTTATATAAGAATGGAACAGGTTGTTTCAAGAAGTGGTGAAATTGAATGTCTACTTTGTCAGTATATTGGAGAGGAATTTCTTTATCAGATTAAACCTTGGACATGGTTACCATTACATTTCTTTTCTACTGTTTAATTCTGTGGATTTGCTAGTGGTTGAGTGTTCTATCTGTGATACTGACTTGGTTTTGGAGAGCGCCAAGTTGAGGGTCAGGGATTTGAAGCATAATTAAAAGTTACAGACTGGCTGCCACAGATGCACAATGAGCAAGTAAGTCAAAACTGACGTTTTTCTAGCTGTGTGCCTTGTCCTTACTTTCAGGATATGCTACCATCTTCCTTCATTTTTGCATCTAAATCCCCATTTTCTAGTGAAGCATACGTGGCCTGTCAGTATTTGTTCCAATTCTTTGTGTGGCTGTGAGTCACTGCTTCTCCCCTCCCCCATTCCAGAGGTTCTACAATGCTGTGGGGCAGAGCTGGCCCACCATGCCATGAGTCACAGGCAATAGACAGCTCACTGGGTGGGCTGGTGGGCTGTTTTAGGGGTGGGATCAGGGCTCTGAAACCACCTTTTACATCCTCAAAGGTTAATGATTTTTTTCCCCCTAGGTTATTAAATGTATGCCTTGTGGGCCTGGGCTTGGCTGGAATGCACAAGGATCCTGAAGATCCTTCTATAGCTCCCTTCTGTTGAACCCATTAAGAGAAGATGGCAAAAGTCAACATAACTAGAGATATCATCCGTAGGCAGATCAAGGTAAGCAGCCCAGACCTCTGAACTAAAACAGGAGGTCCTTTTTCCCTTAGATTGGTTTTACAGAAACGGAGGTCCAGAGTTGGTGATGTGCCTACAGTGACATACCTACTTGATGGCTCAGGACTAGAATCAGTTTCTTGACTTCCCATCTCATTTTAACCCAAGAACATGGAATTCATGGATACTCCTCTGTCCAAGTGCTTGTGCCTGGGCTGCTGAGATTATTATAATAGGGGCTGGTGAGGGAGGAAAGCCATCAGCATGTTATGTGTATTCATGTGCGCACACATAGTGTAGTGAAGAAGGGATTACGATTAATTTATATATGTGTGCGTGTGTGTGTGTGGGAGGGAGAGAGAAAGCATTGTAAAGGGTCAGTTTACAAACAAAAGACAGGCATATGAGTTGAACATGTACCTGAGGTAGATACACTCCTTGGAGAGAACAATCATGGGAGAAAGAAGAGCTTCTTTTCTTATGCACAGGGAGACAGCTCAGGGGGCAGGAGTACATAGAGGGATGGACACAGGGAAGAGGTAACTATCGGGAGGATGTGGGAAGAGAGCTGTTGCATTGTGGCAAATTGTAGTCAATGTCATGAGACAACGTGTGTGTGAACTGCTGTATGGAAAGTGAATTTGCTCTGTAAATTTTCATCCAAATCACAGTGAAAAATTTTTTTTAAAAAAGGGTCAGTTTGGCAACAGGAGTAGATAAAGTTTCTTCATGTAACAGAACCTGTGAAAGTCTTAGTCCTAGTTCAGTTTAAATTCTTTGTTCTCTTCTTTGAGGGTCTCCTCTACTAGATCTTGCACTTGTTGTCTTTAGTTTGTACACAGAAGACACTCTAGTACCTGTGGGAAGAATGGATAACTGTTGTTGTTGTTATGTGCCGTCGAGTCAGACCCAACTCATAGTGACCCCTCCTTGGGTTTCCGAGGCAGTATCACTACGGAAGTAGATTGCCCCATCTTCCTTCCGAGGAGTGGCTGGTGGGTTTGAACCACCAGCCTTCTGGTTAGCAGTCAAGTGCCTTAGGCACTATGCTACCAGAGCTCCTGAATGGATAACTAGGCAGTCACATTCAGTTAGTGAGGTAGCCTCAGGCTTTGTCAGGGAAGCCCTGGGTAAGGAGCCACAGAGCTTTAATGGAGGGAGATATGACCAAGGCATGATGTGCTTCTGTAGGAGAACCCCAAGCTAAGGTCAGGAGCTTAATCTACCTGCTACCCTAATTAACTACTTATAAGACTTTAGTCATTTTACCTCCCTATGTCTCAGTTTTCTGTCTGCTAAATAATAATGTCTCCCTGCCTGCAGGTTGATCTTAAGAGTGATATCTGGAAAGAACATGAAAAAGTTCTTTGAAAAGGTTAAGTGCTAAGCAAAAAAGTTTGTTTGTTTTTTAATTAAGTACTTGTTGTTGTTGTTTGCCATCGAGTCGGCCCGACTCATAGCGACCCCTCCTTGGATTTCCGAGGCAGTATCACTACGGAAGTAGGAATGCCCAGCCTTCCTTCTGAGGAGTGGCTGGTGGGTTTGAACCGCCAGCCTTCTGGTTAGCAGTCAAGTGCCTTAGCCACTATGCTACCAGAGCTCCTATGGAACATAAATTGTGGTCACCACCCAAGATTTTTCCATATACAGGTTTCCGCTGCCATCTGAAAGAAGAGTGTTTATATGAAACCTTTTGTAAATCAAAAAAGCGTAGTGAAGAAGCAATTATGATTAATTCGTATGGGAAAAAAATTTGAACATTCCCAGACCCAAAAAATAAGTTACCAAATCATACCAAATGACACATAAAATTTAAAATAAGACTAACATAAAGTGTTCCCAGACACAGTCAGAGCTATGGCGGTTTAATCCAGAGATGCTGAATGCAGTTCCCAGGGAAGGAGCTTGGTGATGCCACCATTCGCTGCTCAGGGTGTGTACTACCTCTTTTACAGCTCACTACAAAAAAAATACTGAATGCCCGTTGCACTTTTCATCTCTTTTCACAAAAGTGAAAAATCCTCTTAGGGTTTCTCTCGGTCTTTCATAAAAGTGAAGTGGCAAAAAGTGAACTTTTAAAAAGCTGGGATACCTGTATATCCCTAAATCCTTTTGGAGGTTTTTCTGTTTGTTGGTTTGTGTTTGGTTTGGTTTGGTTTGTTTTGGTTGTAGTTTCATTAGACTATGTGGCTCTCAAGGATAAGGACCATTCCTAGAGGCACAGAATCATAGAGTTGGAGGGGTCGTGTAGGTTATTCTTTTCCTGTGCTCCCCCATCCCCCATAATATGTGTCCTACAGATGGTGATGTTCACCCTCTCCAATCCAAACGTGGAACATTCCCCTATTTGTTGTTTCCTATTTTCCTTTTTCTTTTTTTTTTTTTTTTAATCCATCAGCACACAATTTAGTGCTTAAGTTGATACTGTCTTATTCTTTGTCCTTGCCCAAGGAGAGTACAAGCTCTTGCAGGCCAATTTCTTGTTATCTTTTGTGACTCCTGTGGTACCCAGCCCAGTGCTGGACATATCGTTTTTGTTGTTATGTGCCATTGAGTCAGTTCTGTACAGTCCTGTGTACAATAGAACCAAACACTGCTTGGTCCTGTACCATCCTAACGATATAATAACAGCATAGAAATTATGTTGAATTGAATCAGTTAAACCACAAGTTTATTTCTGTTCCGCAGGAGCGGGGTGCCCTGAGCTTTGAGCGGTGCTACCATGTCACTGACCCCTTTATCCGGCGTCTGGGCCTGGAAGCAGAGCTGCAGGTAAGAAGACCCAGTTTGCATCCTAGGTGCAGATGGCTTGCTCTATATTTTCTTCTCTTGACTTTATTCAAGGCATAAACAAGTTTTTCTCTGCAGATCATACCTAAAGTTAATCTCTCCTTTCCAGCAGCTTTAATAGGCAGATACATCTGAATCAAGATTAGGTTCGGGTACATCTGAAACAAGAATGAGATGGTCACATAGGAATTAGTTTCTCTGGTCTTATTATTTTACTTATTCATTGTTTTGTGCTTGGACAAAGTTAGTTGAATTGTATACCACTGTTTTTGTTATAAAAAAAGGAGCTTTGGTGGTACTGGTTAAGGCATTGGGCTGCTGACCAGAAGGCCAAAAGATTGGCACTTCAAATCCACCCAGGGGCACCTCAGAAGAAAAGCCTGGCAATCTATTTCTGAAAGATCATCACCATTGAAAACCTGTGGAGCACAGTTCTACTCTAACACACATGGAGTTGCTGTTGAGTGGAATTGACTCAACAGCAGTTTATTTTTGTTTTTTACCCTTGGCTTGTACAGTAATGATTCTTACCTTTACAAAGCTTATACATAAATATATGTTACATGCATATATATTTTTATATATGTATAACACATATACACAAACAGATATATACCCAAAAAAAAAAAACTCACTGTCGTTGAGTCAATTCTACTCATAGTGACCCGTTCGTGGGGTTCTGAGGTGGTATCTCTATGGAAGTAGATTGTCCAGTCTTCCTTACGAGGAGTGGCTGGTGGATTTGAACCGCCAGCCTTCTAGGTAGTAGTCAAATGCATTAGGCACTACTCCACCAGAGCTCCTATATGATGTATAATTTACATACATACATTTTTTCCTTCTCTTTTTAGTTTCAAAACAATGATATGGCAAGGTAGACAGGAAATAGGCATAAGGAAACAGGTTCAGAAAGGCCAAGTACCTTGTTCAGGGTTGCCCTGGCCAGTCCAGGGAGGGGCCATAGTTCAGCTTTTTCATTGTGTCTGATACTGAAACACTCCATAAATATTAGTTCTATTCCCTTTCCTTCCTCAAGGTTGTGTTTTGAATCCAGCTATTAGCTATTCTACCCAATTTAGTGTTATCTGCACGTTGAGTAAGAATTCATTTTGATTCCTTCAGGTTAGTGTTTCTTGGTGATCATATTAATCTTAGAAAAGGTCTAGAAAGAAATGTATTGAAATGTTGACAGTGGTTATTTTGAGATAATGAGATTATAAATGTTACTGCTTTCTTTTAAGTGAGCCTTGGTGGTACAGTGGTTAAAGTGCTCAGCTGCCAACCAAAAGGTTGGCAGTTCAAACCCACCAGCCACTCCATGGGAGAAAAATGTGGCAGTCTGCTTCTGTAAAGATTTACAGCCTTGGAAAACTTCTGGGGCCATTCTGCTCTGTCCTATCGAGTCACTGAGTCAGAATCAATTCAACAGAGTGGGTTTGGGTTTTTTTGATATAGGAAAGAATAATGAATTTAGCATCAAGGAAAGATGTTTTTAAGTTGGAGAAATTTGAGCATGTTTAATCCTAAGGAAGAAGAATTGGTGAAGAAGTTGAAGATACAGGTAAGCAAGGTGATCATCGGAGTTGGGCTTCAGTCAGACAAATGTTGCAAGAGAGTGGCTGAAGTGATGAATCGTGGATTTTAAGCTGGTAGAGAAGGAAATAAAGACATGAGGTAGCATATAAAGAGAGTAGAAAGATTGACTGACTGGTCCTGGAGGACTTGTTGAGGATAAAGAACCACTGAGGCAAGATATATGTGTTCTGTTATACTTTGCTTTTTTCACTTACCCATATATCTTGGAAGTTACTGCATATCAGCTCAGAGTTCTTCCTTATTTTTTACAGTTGCACAATACTCTTGTGTAGATATACCAAGATTTAATCAATGAATTTCCCATGTATGCACTCTTACGAGTTGTTCTAGTAATACCATAATGAATAACCTTATACAAATGTATTTTAGTATGACTGGAGCTGTATCTTTAGGGTAAAAATCCTAGAAGTAGGAGTTCTTGTCAAAGGGTAAAAATATATGTGGTTTTGTTAAATATTGCCAAATTTCCCTTCATGGGCGTTGCACCATTTTGTCTTCCCACTAGCAGTATATGAGAGTGCCTGTTTCTCCACAGTTCACTAACAGACTTGTGTCATTAAGCTTTTGAAATTTTTACTATTCTGATAGATGAAAAATGGTATTTCGGTATAATTTTAAGTTACATTTCTGAGTGAAGTTAACTATCTTTTCCATATGTCTTAAGAGCCATTTTAATACAATTTTTGCCCATTTCAGCCTAATAACAGGGGTGGTTAAGAACGTATCTATGTGCCTGTGTGTTTTTGTAAACAGAAGCACAGGAAGCATAAGCCAGAAACTGAGATTGGTCACTTCTGAGGGTAAGAGCTGCATGGAAGATGGGCAGAAGAAGGGCAGAAAACTTCTCTCACTATTTTTTGTAGTGTTTTTATTTTAGGACCATGTTGGGGTTTTTCATATTAAAAAATAAAATTAAATAATAAGGGTGGGGAAGGGATGACATTTAATCCACGTAATATTTGAACAAAGTACTTTGGCTATATATATTCTCAGTGTGAATGCTAAATGAACTGCAAAGAAATCTTGAACTCCACTTAGTAGATTTGTCATTTGTAGTGACATTGCTGTAGCAATTCTTTATTTTGTGTGTGTTGTAGAATGGAGCAAATGAGTAAATATATGCGTGTTTTTGGAAACCAGAGTTCTCAGTGTGAAAGAAGGAAAATTCAAGTATGGAATAGGAAAAGTCAAAGAACTCTGAGATAATGGATTGGAATTAGAGGTATCAGTATCAACTCATGATTTTAAACACACACACACACATATACAGGAGCTCTGGTGGCATAGTGCCTAAGGCATTTGACTGCTAACCAGAAGTCTGGCAGTTCAAACCCACCAGCCACTCCTTGGAAGGAAGACAGGGTAATCTACTTCCATAGAGATACCACCTCAGAAACCCAAGAAGGGGTTGCTATGAGTTGGAACCGACTCAATGGCAATGAGTTTGATTTGTTTAGTTTTATGTATATATAAAATTTCCAGCTCTGAGCATGTGAGCAAGACATTGGTTACTGTAGCAATGAGTTACTGGTTTCTAAATACTGTTTCCCACTCAAAGGAGCCAGGAGCCCTTAGAGAAATGACTGGTTCCAGGGTTTGGGCAGGGAAGGTACAAGATGAGCCTATAACATCTTGTGCCAGAAAGTAAAGAAATACATGAAAAATGATAGGGACATATCAAAAGGACACAGGAGCCATCTTGACGGGGATGTTACTGGACAAATATGGGACAATTTGAGCATCAGGATGAATAACGACAGTAATGGAACCCACTGAAAATATCTGAGTTTGCATAGATATTAAAAAGAAGGGAAGGAGAGGTGACAGAAATGGGAGAAAGGGAAAGCACTTCCTTCCGGTAGAACGTTAACCCCCAAATGAAAAAGAAATGATAGTTTAAAAAAAAAAATCACCATTCTACCTCTATCATACCAGTAAAGTGATTCAGGCAAGAATAATCAATCAATGGGTGCTGAAACCACTAGGTGAAAAATTTGATGAATAATAGAGTAGTTACACAATGTAAAAGTGTTTCCTCAGATTAAAAGAGATAATAGTAACATTATTGTGGAGAAGCTTGGCGGATACCACCTTAACCAAAACAAACAAAAACATGCTATATGCCACCTGGTATTATGCACTGAGAAGAACACAAGATAACATTAAGGTTGTATTTCTGTCAAATACACATTCCTTAAATTTAATTATGAGGAAATAATCAGACAGATCCAAATTAAGAGATATTTCTTCAAAACAGCTGAGATATTCTTCAGAAATGTCAATTTTATGAAAGACAAAGAACTCAAGAACTATTCCAAATTAAAGGATACTAAAGAGTAAATGACAACTAAATTCAGGGAATGGTTCTATCCTGGATCCAGAAACAAAAAAAGGATGTTTTTGGAACAGTTGGTGACATTTGAATATAGACTATAAATTAGATAATAGTATTGTATCAGTGTTTAATTTCTGATTTTGATAAAGTGGTCTGGTTAAATTAAAGAAGGAAATATATACTGATATAGCTAGTTAAATGTAAAGGGTCCTGAAGTCTGCAATTGATTTTCAAATGGTTCAGCAAAAATAAGTATGTGTGTGTATGTGTGTGTGCATGCACGTGTATGTAGAGGAGGGAGGGAGAGAGAGAATCAAAGCACATGTCACAATGTTAACAATTAATGAATTGGGTGAAAGGTATATAGATCAGTGTTCTTGTATTATTCTTGCAACTATTTTTTTACAAGTTTGAAATTATTTCAGAATAGCAATTTAAAATGTTCATTAAGAAAACACAACATAATGGGACTGTACCTGCAAATATGTATAGGTTTGACATAGGCTATCTCTACCTATGTATTTATATGTGCTACATACATATACATGAATGTAGTAGTGCATATAGGGGAAAAAATTATGAAAACATCTTGGGCATAACCAAACACTTTGAGTCACTGGGTGTGGAAGGCAAGGCCATGTCTCAGGGACACTAAGGTCAATTGGCATAACATAGTCCACAAAGACAGTGTTCTTCATCCTACTTTGGTGAATAGGGACCGGGGTCTTAAAAGCTTGTGAGCAGCCATCTAAGGTGCAACTACTAGTCTCTACCCATCTGCAGCAAAGAAAAGTGAAGAAAATCAAAGACACATGAAACAATTAGTACAAATGACTAGTGGAACATGTGAACCCTAGCTTCCATGACCCTGAGACCAGAAGAACTAGATGGTGCCTGGCTGCCACTACTGACCACTCTGAAAGGGATCACAATGAGAGATCCTTGATAGAGTTGGGAGAAATGTGGAACAAAACTCAAAATCACTTTAAAATAAAAATGACCAGTCTTACTGGTCTGATGAAGACTGGTAGAACCCCCAAAACTATGCCCT